GATCAATATCAATCTCATCAATACGCTCAGAGGACTTTGGTAATACTTATGCAGGACATGAAAAACAGGCCGTTGCGTGGAAGCATCAGGGCTCCGTGGGTACATCGGTGCACGCGAGGTTAGCGGTAAGTCAGCGTGCGCTTGGATTTTTGCATGTCTGGGGCTTTTTTCCTTTGGCTTTGTCATTTTCCCGCTGAGGTAAATTAAGCATGACTTCGGTAGTGAATCTACCCAGCCTTCAGGAGGACCTCAGCTCTGCGCGTCCTCTCTGCCCTAAGGATGCAGAGACTAACTCGGGTAACTCCCTCGTTACCTCTCTTTGTGCTCATGCCCCCGTCTAATCCCCTGTCTCTCGCCTGAGTTTCCTACAACACCGTGTTGACTCACTGACTGAAAACTGATCGCCCTACTGGGTATCAAGACAAGTCTGAGGCTTATTAAGACTTTGTTAATGCTACGCTTATCTTTGAATATATCACAAATTTACAAAACGAAAGTGAGCAAAACCAGACTGCTTTTCCACCTTAGAGCTGCACTTATGTTAATATTAACAAAAGATACATTGACTACATCAAATGTGAAAGGTGTCGCTAGTAGCGTATGTTTCCGTTCAATCAACAAGTGAATTTTAAGCAAACTTTTGTAATGTCGCTAAAAAAAGAAATGTGAATTAGGTTAATTTCCATCAACTTGTTTAGAGCCCATAAACTCGGCTACAGCGTAGTTTGGCATCGTTATATAGGGCAGTAATCCGCCAGAAAAGATAGGTGAAGAAGTAGAGGTTGCGAACCAGAAACCGCATTTGTTTCAAGTTGGCAAATAGTAAATGTACTTGTAGCGCCTTTCTAGTCTTCCACTCACAGCGCTTTAACACTACATGTCATTCACCCATTCACACCCATTAATAAACTGATGGCAGGGGCTACCCTACAACGTGCCACCTGCCCATCAAGACTTACTAACCTTTGACACCCACACTCCACAGCCTGCACAGGAGCAATTTGGGCCCAAGGACACATTGACATCTGATGGAAGAGCCGGGGATTGAACTGCCAATGTTCTGATTGGAAGAACCTGCTCTACCTCTGAGCCACGGCCGCCATAGGTTAATTGTTCTTTTATGTCTGCTAGTATTGGCCATGTTTCTCGCTGTCCAGAGACAAAGAATATAAAAATATATCATTGGATTTATTGAATTATTAAATAATTATTCAAACTAATACAGGAATTGAAATTCCAGTAAATAATGTATATTCTTGTATATAAACATAGAATTAAATTTAATAGCTATATGAGTCAGTATCGGCCAAATATATTGGTATCTAACATTAGCCGTTTTTCCGACTTGACTGTAAGTAATGACAGTCTATATCAAAGTACTTGAACATTGCAATAACCACAACATGTAAAAGGGAAACAGAAACCTTTTTTAAAATTAAATTACTGTAAAACCAGTAAAGAGCTTTTCATATGCAAAGCATGCCAGCTGCATTCCACCGATGCCAAACTGTCCCTGTGTCACACCACACATCACAACGTATGGACTTACTGCTCACAAAACTGGCACAGCGGGAAACTGGATTAAGAGAGCAAATGAAAAAAAAGAGCGAGGGATAGAAAGATGACACAGAGAGAATGCTAAAGAAGGATATAGATAATGAGGCAGAAAAGGAAGAATGAGATGTGAGGAATCAGCGCTCTGGGCAGAAAAACCGCAGAGGGAGAAAAAGAAGACACAGAGCAATTAAAGAGTGAGAAAGAGGGGGGAAATAAGACAGGGACAAAAAAAAAAAATGCGCTAAGATTCCCAAAGAGAAAAACTGTAAAAGTCAAATTTGCTTCGGTCCCGTTAATTCCACTACAAGCTCAACTATACAGTAAATAAAATTAGTCTGAATGGTTTTTAAATTAAAAAAAGACGCTGGCTGGGCCAATCAACACCATTTTCCTGCTCATGTTGCCCGTATTTGCAGCACATTTCAGAACTCCTGAAACTCATCCAAAAGTGACAAGTGCTAATTGAGAAGCCAGATAAAAATGGGCAAATGAACAAAAGCAGTACAGATTAATGATGGATGACAGTAAACAATCATTGTCGGCATCAGAGCCAGACGGTTTCTAGCGCCGATCCAAAGCCCGGTGCCGGTAGAGGACACGCAGTACGAGGAGACGCAGGGGGACAGAGCTGGAGTGTAGTGTCCCAGAGCTGGATAACCCAGTAGGACTTCATGACTTCATGAAGGATCGGGTCTACGTTCGGCAAGGTCGACTCAAACAAGGGAGGTGACATTTCTCCTTTTGTTTCCTCCGATTCAGACTCTAAAAGATAAGGGTTAGAAAGTGAAGGAGTTCAGAATAAGTTGAATTAGAAACAACAGTTTCCCCCCCGGGAAAGTTGTGTTAACTGAATCGAAGCTTTAATCATTTAAAGGGGTGGCAGTTCAATCCCCCGGCTCCTCTTAACCGCATGTCAAAGTGTCCTTGAGCGAAACACTGAACCCCAAAGTTGCTCCTCGGGCGCTTCACAGCAGCCCACTGCGCCTAATGCTCATTAGTGTTGTTGTTTTTTTGTCACAATTAAAAGTATTGGACAAATTAAAACATTGACCTCAAGATGGCCAAAGTTGGTACAATTTATCCTCAGAGGAACATGAATGTCTGCACAGAACATCATGTATCCAATCCAATCCTGTAAAAGTCGGCGAGTCGTTTCACACAAAAGCCACTAACTTAAAACCTCATGGCTGTCACTGCAAGATGTCATTAGGACACATTATGCCTCATGGTATGGTGTAAAAAGATATTTACAAGTGAAAATGACCCCGACCTCGAATAGTCGACGTCTCGCCGATTCGACCGAAGGGAGCCTGATTCACACAGCTGAATCGTCGAATCGTCGGCAAAATGTAGGTGTGAAACAAAGGATCATTCCATTGTGGCTATACGGGGGTGCTGAATGTCAGATTTTACATAGAATGGCTTGGTTGCTTTCAGCTCTCTCTCTCTCTGTTCACAACCACGAAAAGGAAAAAAAACGTGGTGGACACACTGAGCAACCACTATTGTTATCCTTAACAAGGATGCTAACTTTGCTAACAGGGTTAAAGATCTCAAGACAATTTCCGAGGACGTGTTATTGAGTTTTGGTATTCACTGTGGTGGTACACACACACACACACACACACACACACACACACACCTTACAGTGATAAGGTTTTGTCTCTGCCGGTAAAAGCAAGGATAAAAACGCACAGTTATATTTGTGCACAAAGCATTTAAAGAACAAACAGAAAAGTCGGTCAAGAACTAAAAAGCAAGCGCGTTATTTCCCCTCCGGCCACACTTTTGTCTATACAGAAGCCAGTAACTGAGCTGCTTAACTTGAGGACAAGAAACTTTTATTTTGGTATTACCCTAAGCACTGCGCCGATGCTGTAATTGGAACGTCATCAGTCCCCCTCCTAGAGCTGAACAGCGCCGTGTGCGAGCAGCGATAGCAGAGGAGTGGGGTTATTTGAAATGAGCTGCTGAACAGAACCTGGCTCGAATTGATTTTTGTTTGTTTCCCTAATATGCAGAATTCATGCAGAGTTGAATTCCACTGCCTACGCCGTCTGAATGTGACGTCACACTTGCTCAAATTAGCATTCCCCGTGCAGCTCAAGCCACATGCAGAAATGGACACGGAACAGGTTCATTGTGGAGGTCATACAAGATGGTACATCTTCGAGCAACATGCTTAGTGTTAAGAACTTAATTTTCACGAGCCAACTGGGACAGACTGCGAAAACAAATCAGCTTGCTTCCTAATATTAATGTACATGTTTTGCTGATCTTCTGTACTAACCTTGTTTCAAGACAGCAATATCATTCATTATCCTTCTCCTTGTTATCGTCATTTTTACTCATAGGGTAGGTTCACCCAAATTACAAAAAAAAAACAACAACTTATTTTTCTGGTTGTATTTGTCAAGACAGTGGACGAATAAAACCAAATCTGTGTTGTTGTTTTTTGTAATATCGAGAAACTTTTTAAATGCATAGACGCACACCATGAAGGTAAGGTAAAAACAAATGAAGGTGTCTGTGAAACAAAGTGAAGATGTGATTTAGAAGATCAGGTCAAGCAGCCCGAGCTTGTCAAAACAATATCAAGAGACTGAAAGAAAAAAGTCCTTAAACAAGTGACACTGGATTTGTAACAGGTGCAACCGGAGTAATGCTGGATTGCTGTGTTCGTTGGTTTTTGGATGACACTTTCATTATGCAAAAACTAATTGACCTTAATATATTTGCTGAGTTCCATATGTGTGAAATGGCTCTTTTCGCATTAGGCTTTAATGAATTAAGTATTTAAATTTACTACAAGGAACTTTTCAACGGTTACTCATCTGCTGCTGCAGCCGTATTGCTCGGCCTGCTGAGTTAATGGTGTTACGGGAGAACCAGAACTACGAGGAGCAGACTGTCAGACCCGGCAAAAGTAAAATGACAAGTTTTTCTTCAGGGAGTTGCAGGTCCACAAGACTTTTTTTCCACAGGAGCAGACAAAATGAACAAAATGAAAGTTCCTTGCAGTAACTTTAACTTGAAAATTAAGTTCTCAACATTTTGAAAAAGTAATTGATGTACTATATTATCGGCAATGTGTTATACAGGATAATTCATGATATACTTACCGTGCAAGACTGCACTGTATAAATCTACCAATATAAAAGGGACTGAATGGACTTCAATAGAGTTTAATGCAATATATACCGTAAATCACAATAAGTCATAAACTGTGCATCATTATAAAGTCACGTCATCACAATGAGATTATGTACAGTTGATCGAAAGACAATAATGACTTTGTACTGTGCAAAATCTCGAACGGCTTCGTCGCGCTGTAGGAGTAGAAACAAATCAAAGGAGTCTTTGAAAATACCTTTTTCAGGAATAGCATTTTGTGGTGGGTGTGATTAAACACGAACGGAGAGACAACGCAGACACGGACTCACCCCCAGCTTGCGGCTGCGCATGCGCACGTAGCCCTGCTTGACAATGTCGTTGAAGTTGGAGGCCATCTTCGGGTGGGGGGTAACCTGCCGGCCGTCGCCGTGGAGACCATCCAGATGCTTCTTCCCTCCCTCAAGCAGTCCCTCGCTTTCCCCTCCTAGCTCTCAGCTCCTCTGTCCTGTGCTCTGTCCGTTCACTTTCAATCCCGTCCGTCTCCTTCAGGACTTTGTGTGCTTCCTCCCTCTAGCACTTCCTGTTTCTATCGGTCCTCAAACTCCGTCGCTCTTCTTGCAGCTCTTCACATCTTCCCCGCCCTCCCCGTTTCCTTTCCTCCTGTTTCCTTTTCGTTCCCCTCTGTTGGACTTGTTTCTCTCCTTCTTTGGCCTCTTGCTGTCCGTGCGTTTTTTCCTTTCCTCCGTCCTTCTTTCATTCACTCCTCACCAGATGGGTCTTTCCATCATCTCCATTATTGGCATCTCTAAGAAATGTACAGAGAGAGGGAGAGGCACAAATGTTTATATATGTATATATTATTCAGAGAGTGAGAGTGAGGAGCACAACATTACCGGCCATTATTCATGCGGGTGGCATGCACCATTATTGAGGGCAAGAGGGCGGGATGGCTGCCGGTGACTTTGTGCTGTAACGGGCAGTATGCTTTGTCATTTGTCTGAGAAAAATGAGCGCATGTGTGAGCTTGTGTATGAGTGTGTGTGTGTATGTAATGGCATGAAGCTGTGATGCTCTACCAAGGATATCACAGGAGGCAGCATCCATTAGCAGGGAGAGTATCTAGGAAATACAAATGTATGAGGTTTAATCTGTTCTCTAATCAAAGCCTGCTTACCCATCATGCCACGCTGTTTACTCCCTGCTTCCATCTAGAAACATTTCCACTTCAAACACCCGAATAACTTCGTCCCTTACTTTCAGCATTTATTGCGTTGCAATGCCGCCGAAGATCAATGCTTACAGTATTACCACCTTTTGCTAACATGGATCTGTTGCCCTTGGTTGTGGTTATCCGTTAAAGCCTTTTTTTTAACAGCCAAATGACTGTGTGATGTGAGGTGTCGCTCAAATCTCTGCAGCTCCCCTCAGCTTCATGCAGCCTTTTTAGCTTATTTTAGCTCGAATGAACCCGCTGTAGTCCTGAGCCCCTTTCAAACATCCATTGCAACCCTGAAATTATCTCGAACCGGAGGAACACAAATGTCAGAATCATTCGGACCAGACTTTCAACGGATTTTAACCTGCAGCACAAAGTCTGTGCAACGTACGATTGTGCCTGTGTGTGAATAGAGCCGCTCATTGTCCCGGAGAACTCTATTGTTCGAGCCATTTTGCGACAATTGGCGTGTCCGGTGGCGTTATCGGCCTTTAATTGTAAATGATCACGTCAAGTACTTACTTTATTCTTGTCGGAATATGCATTTCAAAAATGTCAACGTTAGACGTTTTCCTCCTTCATATAGGCAAGAGATCCTGAAATGATAGTCCACAGTGATACTGAACAATATATTGTTGCTATTGGGCGGAAACCTTCTATTTCGATATTTCGTCATTTAAATGTTTTTGGCCTTTTTTTGGGCCTTTTGGCTGGCAACAGCCGTGGCCGGAGGCATTATGTTTTTTGCCTGGAGGGAATTACATCCATCCATTACATTACATTACATTACATGGTCTAAAAGCGTACCTTGACATTTGCTGATCACAACCCATAATAAAACTCTATTTAAGCTTAATTTTGGTAAAATATGAATATTCTTGGTAAAATATGAGTAATATAATGACTCAAGTATGTATTTGAACATATATAAAGACATAATACTAACTTTGACCATGCAGTGTTTTTTTATTTCCTGAAAAGTTACAATTTTGGACCTACAAGGTTTCCACCCGACAGTGACAATAAGTAGGAAGATAAGAGTACTACAAACTAAATCATCTGCTTTTGATTTTGGACATGATGGTCCAAAATTTCTGTCACATTTTTGTCTGAAAAAAAAGAAAAGAGGAGGAAGGAGGAGACAACGATGGCTTTGACCGAGTGCCGGAGGAAGCCGAGTGTAAAGTACAGCAGACACACATCTCCCCTCCGGAGAGAGAGGACACTTGCCGTCTTCATTGACTCACTTGCTGTATAATGAAGCTGATATACAAGAGGTGACGTGACTTATACGGCCATTTGTGCATACTGAGCATGCAGATGCACGTGTGCAACCCTGTTTGTGTACGTGTATGTGTATGTGTGTGTGTGTGTG